ACTACTGCATTAGGTAAAAAATGTTAAAAATTGGCGCACTTGCAAAAGAAAATTATATTTCAACAGTTGATTGATTGGGTGCTTGTCATGATTTGTTTACTTTGAATTTGGTAAAAGAACATTTGCTTTCTTTAGCTCAATTTCAAGGTCTTTTCATTGTAAAACCATCAAATCTCTCAATTTTGTAAATGTTTCCAATTTTTATAAAATGAGCCAAGAAAAAAAGAAAAAAAAATAAATACCCTACGAAAAATACAGTGCAAAGTCGCTGTTTTTTTTCCAAAAAAAAAATTTGGTTTTATTTTCTCATTATGCAGGTGCTGCGGTTTTTTTTTACTGTGAATGAACCCATGCCCATTTTTTCATTGTAGGGCCCACCCTTTCTCCCACTGATTTTAGGGGGAAGAATTTAGGGGTACTAGTACTCAAAAACCCGGGTGTAAGCTGTACTAGACGGTGAAAACCCCCCAAAGGGTTTAAAAAGTAGGTTAGTCGCCCGAAATGCTTTTACATGATTGTGGTTTCTTTTTACATTCAAATTTGAAAATGTAAACAACTTGTACCCCGTAAAGGGAAAAAAAAGTTTTTATTTTTTATTTTTAAAATACCGTGGACCCTTGGCCAACAAAGGATCCCTAACAAAAAATTACCAACGAAGCTTTTAGCATAAAAATTTTTTGGCCGACCAACGATGAAAAACTCGACCAAATGATTTATCCCGAACCCGTCCGTCCCCCTGAGCGCCCCAACTGCCCCGCCGTCATTGTTTAAAGCCGGGGGGCCAGTTCCTGCATAATTTGATATATTTTGTTTATTCCATTGTTTTTAGTGTTCTAAGTGCTAAATAAGCCACCCTTGGCCCAAAGAAAGCTTTAGTGCCAAACCCCTTTGGTAAAATGGGTGGAAATACTATCGAAATACTATGACATAGTCGTGCTGCTGCACCCCTGTCAGCTGCGCTGACCATGGTCTGTGCGCTGCACCCCAGCAACTGTTGCTGCACCCCATCACTGCTGCTGCACCACCACAGCTGCTGCTGACCACGGTCAGCTGCTGCTGTACCTGGTCAGCTGTTGCGCACCACAGTCAAACTGTGCTGCACCACCATCAGTGCTGCGTTCATGGTCAGTTGTGCTACACCACAGTCAGCTGTTGCTCCAACCATAGTTACTCCGAAGATGTGGAGAGGTTGTTGGGGGGGGCTTAACGAGAAAAAATTAACCCCCGAGGGTTAGACACCAGGATAAAAAAAGAAATCAGTGCATCATCAAGGACTGTCTAAAATATTTTCATTGAGGTCCCTTTTCTTGTTCCCCCCGGGTGGACCCCCAAACCCGTCAACTAACCCCAGGCGAACAGGAAAAACTGCTGGAACTAGTGCTATTTGGGGAATTTAAAGGCCCGCAAAGTTGGTTTGAGAGATTTAAAAATTAGTGGTATACACAGTAAGTAAGGGTGGCGAAGCTGAAAAATTCCAACCAAAACAAGTGTTCAGTTCTGACGAAACAGGCTTTTTCTGAAAGAAAATGTAAATGGGTTGGTTTTACTTGCAGAGTCACTTGTTTGACAGAACGCTTAAAGCCTCAAATGATGTAGTGGAAATTTTTTGCAGTAAAGACGAGAACCAAAACCCAGTCATTGTGGTATCAAAGCCCCCAGATGCAACGTCAAAGAATTCCAGGAACAGCTGTTAAAAATTGACCCCTGTTGGAAAAACTCCCCCGTCCTGCCCCCAAAAATTTTCTCTTGGGGGTTTCAAAATTTAAACACCTAAAAGGGGAATATAGAAAAAAAAAAGTTGTTGCAGTAATAACCCGGAGGCAGCTCTGACGAAATCAAAACAACGAGCTTTTTTAAAAACCCGCACAAAATTCAATTTAAACCGCAAAATAATAGAGCCTATAGATGGGGATTACACTAGACCCCATCTTCACTAAAATGATGATCTATACAAAATGTTACTATCAAAAACAATATATCGATCACAACATAATTTAGGTTCTGGCATGTATGGCGGAGCCCCAGACCCAATAAGAGTTTTGTAAAGAGGGGGGGGATTCACCATATTAACTTCAATAAAAAAAAACATAAATTGGGACCAAGTAAAACCAAATCCTAAACCATATAAGCTGGGGGAAAATAACTAAGCAAAACAGACCCCAACTTATCTAGAAAATTAATCGGGGGCACTCGATGTATGCACAAAGGGTTTTTTCCTCTAAGAAAAAAGGGGAGAGATTAAAATGAAAGAGACAGGCCTCCCCTTTTCAGGCCGGAAAAAAACAGAGGGAAGAGAGGCCAATATATTGAAAGCGTAGGGGTCACTGGTCGAGAAACAGCAAACATCGAACTTAAACTAAAGGAATTTTAGGAGTTCCCGGAATCGGGGAAGAAAAAAAGCCATAAAGAAATCAAAAAAAACCCAAAAAATTTCTTTTCCTATGCCAAATCAAAATCGAGAACAAGCCGTTTGGGCCCTACTTAAACAAAATGGGTCCTACACAAAGACAGCAAGGAAATGAGTGAGCTACTCAAGTCCCTTTTCTCAGTTTTTTAGCAAGCCCTACCAGACTGAGAGTCGAAGATCAAAATTAATTTTTTATGAGAGAGCCACAGAATTTGGTTAACACAAGCCTATCTGATGTTATCCTGACACCAAATGACATCGAACAGGCGATAAATGACATGCCCATGCCCTCTGCCCCAGGGCCAGACTCATGGAACTCTGTGTTCATCAAGAGCTGCAAGAAGCCCCTATCATGAGCTTTTACCATCCTATGGAGAGGGAGCATGGACACAGGGGTCGTCCCACAGTTACTAAAAACAACAGACATAGCCCCACTCCACAAAGGGGGCAGTAAAGCAATAGCAAAGAACTACAGACCGATAGTACTAACATCCCATATCATAAAAATCTTTGAAAGGGTCCTAAGAAGCAAGATTGCCACCCATCTGGAAACCCATCAATTACACAACCCAGGGCAACATGGGTTTAGAACAGGTCGCTCCTGTCTGTCTCAACTATTGGATCACTACGACAAGGTCCTAGATGCACTAGAAGACAAAAAGAATGCAGATGTAATATATACAGACTTTGCAAAAGCCTTCGACAAGTGTGACCATGGCGTAATAGCGCACAAAATGCGTGCTAAAGGAATAACAGGAAAAGTTGGTCAACGGATCTATAATCTCCTCACAAATAGAACACAGAGTAGTAGTTAACAGAGTAAAGTCCGAGGCAGCTATGATGAAAAGCTGTGTTCCACAAGGCACAGTACTCGCTCCCATCTTGTTCCTCATCCTCATATCTGACATAGACAAGGATGTCAACAACAGCACCGTGTCTTCCTTTGCAGATGACACCCAAATCTGCATGACAGTGTCTTCCATTGCAGACACTGCAAGGCTCCAGGCGGACATCAACCAAATCTTTCAGTGGGCTGCAGAAAACAATATGAAGTTCAACGATGAGAAATTTCAATTACTCAGATATGGTAAACATGAGGAAATTAAATCTTCATCAGAGTACAAAACAAATTCTGGCCACAAAATAGAGCGAAACACCAACATCAAAGACCTGGGAGTGATCATGTCGGAGGATCTCACCTTCAAGGACCATAACATTGTATCAATCGCAGCTGCTAGAAAAATGACAGGATGGATAATGAGAACCTTCAAAACAAGAGATGCCAAGCCCATGATGACACTCTTCAGGTCACTTGTTCTATCTAGGCTGGAATATTGCTGCACACTAACAGCACCTTTCAAGGCAGGTGAAATTGCTGACCTAGAAAATGTACAGAGAACCTTCATGGCACGCAAAACGGAGATAAAACACCTCAATTACTGGGAGCGCTTGAGGTTCCTGAACCTGTATTCCCTGGAATGCAGGCGGGATAGATACATGATTATATACACCTGGAAAATCCTAGAGGGACTAGTACCGAACTTGCACATGAAAATCACTCACTACGAAAGCAAGACTTGGCAGACGATGCAACATCCCCCCAATGAAAAGCAGGGGTGTCACTAGCACGTTAAGAGACCATACAATAAGTGTCAGAGGCCCGAGACTGTTCAACTGCCTCCCAGCATACATTCGGGGGATTACCAATAGACCCATGGCAGTCTTCAAGCTGGCACAGCCGAGCTGTGGCTCGTACGTTGGTTTGCGTGCAGCCAGCAGTAACAGCCTGGTTGATCAGGCTCTGATCCACCAGGAGGCCTGGTCACAGACCGGGCCGTGGGGGCGTTGACCCCTGGAACTCTCTCCAGGTAAACTCCAGGTAGGACCTACATTACTCAGGAGGAAAAGGCACTCCCAGGACACAAGCCTATGAAAGACAGGCTAACTCTCATGTTGTGCTGTAATACTAGAGGGGATTGCAAAGTGAAGTCTTTACTGGTGTATCACTCTGAAAATCCCAGTGTTCAAGAAAAACAGTGTCTCATCACTCATCAATACTCTTCAATAAAGATAAGTGTAATTTTAACATTTATTTATGTAGTTATTGTGCATGTCTCATTGTTTTCTTTGTAGGGAAATGTATATTTCATGAAAAAAAAAAAATTCATACCTTTGGGTGTCAGGAATGGATTAATTTGATTTCCATTATTTCTTATGGGGAAAATTAATTCAGCTAACGATAATTTCATCAAACGATGAGCTCTCAGGAATGAATTAATATCGTTGGCCGAGGGTCCACTGTACAATTTTTGTACAATGAAGGATGTGTGAGGATGTTATAGTCCTGGAGGTAGGAAGTACCATTCTTGTACCATAAAGGATGTGTGAGGATGCTACAGTGCTGGAGGCAAGAAGCACACTACTTGCACTATGAGGATGGGTGGGAATATCACAGTCCTAGAGGAAGTAAATACAGTGCTAGTACTATGAAAGATGGGTGATGATGTTACAGTCCTGGAGGAAGGAAATACAGTGTTTTTGCCATGAAGGATTGGGGGGAATGTTACAGGTTTAGAGGTGGGAAGTACAGTACCTGTATCCTGAAGGATGGGTGGGGATGTTGCAGTCCTTGAGGTATGAAGTACAGTGCCTGTATCCTGAAGGACAGGTGGGGATGTTGCAATCCTTGAGGTATGAAGTACAGTGCCTGTATCCTGAAGAATGAATGGGGATGTTACAGTTCCATGGGTAAACTAAACTGTTATGTTAGCGCACTTTGGGCAAGACAGAAATTGAATAATTGATGGTGAATGATTTTCCTCATTTTCTTGGAGCCATCCTTCCTCAGTGGGAGACTGCTGATGTATCAAAAAAAAAAAAAAAGCTGAAAACAAAGTCAACATGCCATCATTCATATACAACACAAGAAAGATGTTCATGTGTTACCACCAACTATTACACCATTGTTCAATAAATTAACATAAACCAAAATTTTACATAACATACTTAACACTTTCGCCATCTGTCATGTAGGACTACTTCATTTAGGCCAGGGTCCATGATGAAGTTCTTCATCAGCTCACCTCACTCAGATAAGCTGCAAGCAATAAATTTTGTTCTTATAGTATGTATATGAAATAATGGGTATGTGTGACATAATCTTAAAATAATAAATCCTAACTAGTCATAAGTTTGCCTATGATACTCCAATATAGACACTTTGTATTGTGCCAAAACAAAAGCATTCACATTGTTAAACTCACAAATTATGATGTAGTCGCTTAGCCTTAATACCATAATCTGTAAGGATTTAATGTTAAGAATTAATCTAAGTCTGCCCGAAATGCCTAGCCATGCTAGGTGTCCTAGTGGCCCCCTCTGTAATTAGTATTTTATAACATGTAAACCACACAATACCCAAAACCTGTAAACCCCACATTGTAACCCTTATAGAGAATAAACTTGAATTGAATTGAATTGAAAAGTGTGCACAGGATAACAAAAATCCTGCCCCACACAGTACACGATGGCAAAAACAATACTGGCACAGTGTGGATGGTTTAACCCTTTGACTGTTTCGGTTGTCTATATACGTCTTACAAGCCACCATGTTTGACATATTAATACGCATAAATTCTAGCGGCCTCAAATCAAGCGGGAGAAAGTTGGTAGGCCTACATGTGAGAGAATGGGTCTGCATGGTGAGTGTGCGCACTATGAAAAAAATCGGGGAAGCAGTGGTGCACTGTGTGAGCTCCATTCCAGTAGTCCTTGTTCACCATGCCTCGCGGTAAGAAGTTCCTCACTCCTAGGTGGATTGGAGGTCTTTTGTTCCCAAGTGATAGCTGTAACAGCAATGGAAGTGTCAGTGAAAGTGAATATCATGGTTTTGGAGAAGGTGTGACTGAAAGCAGTGCCCAGGATAACGTAATTAGTGATGAAAATCCAGATGACCCACAACCTTCCACCTCTAGTGCTGGGCCATCTCATTCATGTCCATCTGTACCAGCATGAAAGAGGAAACTATTTCCCCATCTACAGGACTCAGATATGAGCAGTGAAAGTGATAATGATAGTGATTTCCAAGCTATTGAAAGCAGTTCTAGTCACAACAGTGAGGGTGAATGTTCTCCAGTGAAGCGGCAATAGGTACAAAGCAGCATGCGTTCTGGTAGTGTGCCATATGCTGTTCCAAGGGGAAGGAGTAAATCTTGGAGTACATCCCGTGGCTCTACACCATGAACTGATAGTAAAGATGACGATATTGTTACAATGGGGATGAATAATATGCGTGGGGAGCAGATGGTGGTGGCGGAGGCGACATGAGTCATGTGGCATCAGCAGCGGGCCATGCTACTACCCACGCTGCTAACTCAGCACAGCCACAACCACCCTCCTCCTCCCTAACACTCCCACAACATCCACAACCACAACCTACACAACCACAACCTTTACAAACACAACTGCCTGTAAATATCCAGTACCCACCAGCAGACCGCATCTGAGATTTGCAGCAAGGTGACAATTTTGTTCCCAATCCCATCACTTTGATGAAACACAAAGTGAAATACAGCCATCATGTACACTTGGGAACAATGCCACTGAACTGGAATGCTTTCAGTTATTCTTCGATGAACCCCAGATGGACATTATTGTCAGGGAAAGCAATACATACTCTGAGTACACCATGGAAAACACAATTCTTTCACCAAAATCTCGCCTACACCAGTGGAAGGACACAACTGTGGCAGAGATGTATCTGTTCTTTGCCACAATAATTCTTATGTCACATGTGTATAAGCACAGTGTCAACACAAACTGGTCAACAGACCGCCTGATTTCAACCCCAGCTTTAGGTGATATTATACCTATGAATCGATTTGTGCTACTGTTACGTATGCTACACTTTTCAGACAAAACAAGGTCTGACAGAAGCAACAGGTTATATAAGATCAGGAATGTGTTTATGTACCTGAAACAAAAGTGCTGTATGTATTTTTATCCCTTCAGGAACCTTGTTATTGATGAGTCTTTGATTTTGTTCAAAGGCAAACTGTCGTTCAAGCAGTATATACCAAGCAAGAGAAAATGCTTTGGTATAGTTATTTGTACTGTGTGATTGCAAAAGTGGTCTGATTTTGGATATGATTGTGTACACTGGCAGTAATACATTGCAAGATACCAGGAAGTTACTGGCTATCTCTGATGATGTGGTTAGAACAACGATGGAACCATATCTTGGTAAGGGGCATATTTTATATACAGTGGACCCCCGCATAACGATGGCATCACATAGCGATTTTTCCGCATAACGATTACTTTTATCGCAAAATTTTTGCCGCGCATACCGATTAAAAACCCGCTTACCGATTTTCGTCCGAGACGCGTCCAATGTGCCCTCAGCCAGCCTCACATGTGCCGCCCCGTCCCATTGTTTACCAGCCAGCCTCCGCGGTAACATCCAAGCATACACTCGGAATATTTCGTATTATTACAGTATTTTCGGTGCTGTTTCTGGAAAATAAGTGACCATGGGCCCCAAGAAAGCTTCTAGTGCCAACCCTACACCTCAAAGGGTAAGAATTACTATAGAGATGAAGAAAGAGATAATTGATAAGTATGAAAGTGGAGTGCGTATAGCCGACCTAGTCAAGCTGTACAAGAAACCCCAATCAACCATCGCTACTATTGTGGGCACAAGAAAGACAATCAAGGAAGCTGTTCTTGCCAAAGGTTCAACTGTGTTTTCGAAACAAAGATCGCAAGTGATGGAAGATGTTGAGAGACTCTTATTGGTGTGGATAAATGAAAAACAGATAGCAGGAGATAGCGTCTCTCAAGCGATCATATGTGAAAAGGCTAGGAAGTTGCATGAGGATTTAATTAAAAAAATGCCTGCAACTAGTGATGATGTGAGTGAATTTAAGGCCAGCAAAGGTTGGTTTGAGAGATTTAAGAAGCGTAGTGGCATCCATAGTGTGATAAGGCATGGTGAGGCTGCCAGTTCGGACCACAAAGCGGCTGAAAAATATGTGCAGGAATTCAAGGAGTACATAGAAACTGAAGGACTGAAACCTGAACAAGTGTTTAATTGTGATGAAACAGGCCTGTTCTGGAAGAAAATGCCAAGCAGGACCTACATTACTCAGGAGGAAAAGGCACTCCCAGGACATAAGCCTATGAAAGACAGGCTTACTTTGTTGATGTGTGCCAATGCTACTGGTGATTGCAAAGTGAAGCCTTTATTAGTGTATCACTCTGAAACTCCCAGAGCGTTCAGGCAAAAGAATGTCCTCAAGGATAATTTGTGTGTGCTGTGGAGGGCAAACAGTAAGGCATGGGTCACTAGGGAATTTTTCTATAACTGGTTACACCATGCATTTGCCCCCAATGTGAAAAATTACCTAACTGAAAAGAAATTAGAACTTAAGTGCCTCCTGGTGTTAGACAATGCCCCTGGTCATCCTACAGACGTGGCAGAGCGACTTTATGGGGACATGAGCTTCATTAAGGTGAAGTTTTTGCCTCCTAATACCACTCCTCTCCTGCAGCCCATGGACCAGCAGGTTATTTCCAACTTCAAGAAACTGTACACAAAAGCTCTGTTTGAAAGGTGCTTTGTAATGACCTCAGAAACTCAACTGACTCTAAGAGAGTTTTGGAGAGATCACTTTAATATCCTCAATTGTGTAAACCTTATAGGTAAGGCTTGGGAGGAAGTGACTAAGAGGACCTTGAACTCTGCTTGGAAGAAACTGTGGCCAGAATGTGTAGACAAAAGGGATTTTGAAGGGTTTGAGGCTAACCCTGAGAATCCTGTGCCAGTTGAGGAATCCATTGTGGCATTGGGAAAGTCCTTGGGGTTGGAGGTTAGTGGGGAGGATGTGGAAGAGTTGGTGGAGGAGGACAATGAAGAACTAACCACTGATGAGCTGATAGATCAACTTCAAGAGCAAGAGGCCAGACCTGGGGAAACTGGTTCAGAGGAGGGGACAGAGAAATTGAAGAAGTTGCCTACTACAAAGATAAAGGAAATCTGTGCTAAGTGGCTTGAAGTGCAAACCTTCATGGATGAAAATCACCCTCACACAGCTATTGCAAGCCGTGCTGGTGATTATTACACTGACAATGTTGTGAAACACTTTAGGCAAGTCATAAAGGAACGAGAGGTACAGGCCACTATGGACAGATATCTTGTGCGAAAGAAGTCCAGTGACTCTGAAGCTGGCCCTAGTGGCATTAAAAGAAGAAGGGAAGTAACCCCAGAAAAGGACTTACTACCTCAAGTCCTAATGGAAGGGGATTCCCCTTCTAAACACTAACACACTCTCTCCCCTCCTCCCATCCCATCAATCATCACCAGATCTTCAATAAAAGTAAGTGTCATTTAATTGTGCATGCCTTTTTCAGTTTGTGTGTATTAAAATTAACATTTCATGTGGTAAAATAAAATTTTTTTCATACTTTTGGGCGTCTTGCACGGATTAATTTTATTTCCATTATTTCTTATGGGGAAAATTCATTCGCATAACGATTATTTCGCATAACGATGAGCCCTCTTGCACGGATTAAAATCGTTAACCGGGGGTCCACTGTACTGATAAATGGTACACAAGCCCCTTACTCACTGATTTCTTGTGAGTGAACATGACAGATGTGTGTGGCACAGTGCGTGGAAATTGTAAGCATATGCCTAGGTTCGATGTAGGCACTCGTAGAGGTGAAGTTAAGGTATCTGCTGCCAATGACATCATGGTATTTCGGTGGCATGACAAACGTGATGTCACATTGTTGACATCAGTTTACCAACATGAAATGGTAGACACTGGCAAGCAGAATAGAGAGACCAATGAACCCACTGTAAAACGTGCAGCTGTGATGGACTACAACCTCAATATGCGCTTAGTGGACAAATGTGACATGCAGATTGGGTTTGCTGACTGTGTTTGCAAGAGTTATAAGTGGTACATAAAACTCTTTTTCCATCTTCTTGACATTTCCATGCTGAATGCTTTTTTTTTTTTTTTTTTTTTATTATCACACTGGCCGATTCCCACCAAGGCAGGGTGGCCCGAAAAAGAAAAACTTTCACCATCATTC